TATGGGGGCTCCCTTGTAGGTAACTAATTGCTTTTCTCTTGCTGCTTTTAAGATTCTCTCTTTGTCTTTAACCTTTGGCATTTTAATTATGATGTGTCTTGCTGTGGGCCTCTGTGGGTTCCTCTTGTTTAGGACCCTCTGTGCTTCCTAGACTTGTAAGTCTATTTCTTTCCCCGGGTAGGGGAAGTTTTCTGTCATTATTTTTTCAAACAGGTTTTCAATTTCTTGCTCTTTCTTCTCCTTCTGGCACCCCAATAATACGAATGTTGGGCTGCTTGAAGTTGTCCAGAGGCTCCTTATACTGTCTTCATATTTCTGGATTCTTTTTTCCTTTTGCTCTTTTGGTTGGGTATTTTTTGCTTCCTCGTGTTCCAAATTGCTGATTTGATTATCAGCATCCTCTACTCTACTGTTGATCCCCTGTAAATTATACTTCATTTCAGTTTATGTAGCCTTCATTTCTGATTGGTACTTTATGATGTCATCGATGGTCTCACTTGTTTTCTTAATAGTCTTACTAATATCCTGGAGCATCCTTATAACCATAATTCTGAACTCTGTATCTAGTAGCTTGCTTGGCTCTATTTCATTTAGTTCCTTTTCTGGAGATTTCGTCTGTTCTTTCCTTTGTGACATGTTTCTTTGCCTCCGCATTTTGGCTGCTTCCAGGTGTTTGTTTCTATGTATTAGGTAGAGCTGCTATGTCTCCTGGAATTTGTAGAGTGGCTTTGTGTAGTAGGTGTCCTGTAGGGTCCAGTGGCTCAGCCTCCCCAGTCTCCTGAGCTGGGCCTTCCAGGTGCTCCCCTGTGTGGGCTGTGTGCACTGTCCTGTTGTAGTTGAGCCTTGGTTGCTGTTGGCGTCGCTGGGAGGAATTGACCCCCAGGCCAGTCGTCTGTGAGGACCAGCTGCAACTACAGCCAAAGAGCTGCTGTGCTGGAGACACCCTTATGGAGCAGGATTTACTTCAGTGTAGCTTTGGTGTTCACCAAGTGTGCCCCTTGAGTGTGTCACTGGTGGATGTAGTAGGGTTGTAATCCAGTGTGGTTGAGTCTGACCACCAGGTGCACTGTCTCTGGGACCTCCCAGGAGATGCAAAGTCAGCCTGTGCCAGTGCCTTGACCAGGGCCACTCAGCATGAGCTACACAGCAAATGGTAGTTGGCTGCTACTTGTGCTGGGCTTAAAGGTGCCCAGGAGAGGCCAACCTATGAACCAATGCAGGCTGCCACTAGTGCTAGCCTGGGGCCGCTTATCAAGCCCTATGGGGCAAGCTGCTGCTTGTTTGAGAGATTTTAGGAAAGTCCTAAGCATGAGGCTCAAGTGGCCGCTTGCACAGAAAAGCCCCTAGAAATGGCCTGGATGAGCCTGCAGGTGGGGAGGGGCAGGGCCTCTGGGAATCATGGCGGGGCCAAAGGTGAGTCAGGTGCTGGCGATTCAAACATGGCACCTGCCTGCCGGCTGTGTGCGGGGAGGACTCGCCAAAGGAGCCATGACCTCTGCCAGCCCTTCTGCCTGGGAGGAAGCCGCCCCTCCAGCTCTCTCCCGGATTCCAGGCAGGTTAGTTCCCCCCCGAGTGTCCCGGGTCCTTTCAGGCTGCTGCCCGGCGCTGGGCTCAGAGGGAACACGTCTGAGTGAGTCCATCCGCGGGCCCTTTACCCAAAGTTGTGGGGACGTCTCTTCCTGGCCCTGGAGCCCTGGGATGCAGGCCCGATGTGGGGCTGGGACCCCTCCCTCCTCCCTCCTCCAGGAAACCTCTGCCACCAAGATGTCCTCCAGGGTTTACCCCGCGGCACTGGGTGTGGGCCCGCTGCTGCGTCTCCACAGTTCAGCCCCAACCCACCTGCGTCTCCACCTCTCCTACCAGTCTCAATGCTTTTTCAGTTCCCTGGTTGTAGGGCTTCTGTTCAGCCTGATGTCAGGAGGTTCTGAGTGATGGTTGTTCTGTATTTTAGTTGTAATTGGTTGCAGGAGGCGGCAGGTGCAGCTGCTACCTACGCCGCCATCTTGTTTCTCTACCTCCATTCCCTTTCTATTAAAAATAGACATGAAGCTAAACATTCCAGAGCAGGGGAAACCAGTCTACACCTTTCCTCGCTGACAGCTGTCTGGCAACTTTCTTGTTTAGAAAGCCGTGACTGGAGGAAGTTGGCCACCTGGCCAGTGACTTGGACTAAGGGGCCATCAAACATTTCCTCCCCAGTCTGGTGACACTTCAAGGCAGGAATGAGTGCTGAATCAACTGAGCCAGCTGCCTCTCTGCTGACCTTCTCACCTTAGGTAATTCTCACTTGGCATTGAACCCACAGGTTCCCCAAGGAATCCTTGACCGAAGCTTTGAGACCACTCTGAACATAACAGGGAGAGCTGGAGCCACCCTGGACCTTCTGGTGGAGAACATGGGACGGGTGAACTATGGCCATTTCATCAATGATTATAAGGTACGACCAGCCTCACTGTTAGGAGCGGGGTTCAGAGGTTGTCAGGACTGTGCCTATGCCATCAGAAGAAGGTTTTGTGAATCTATTTAAAAATGCTCACTCAGCCCGGCCGGGCATGGCTCAGCGGTTGAGCGTCGACGTAGGATCCAGGCGATCAGGGTTCAATTCCCGGTCAGGGCACATGCCCGGGTTGTGGGCTCGATCAATGACTCTCTCACCATTGATGTTTCTCTCTCTCTCTCTCCCTTGCCTTTCCTCTCTCTGAAATCAATAAAGATATATTTTTTAAAAAATAATAAAAATAAAAATGCTCACTCATAATCTTTCCCTCCAGCCCTGTTAACATAGAAGCAATTCTTAAAAGCACACTTTGACCCTGGCTGGTGTGGCTCAGTTGGTTGGGTGTTGTCCTGTGCCCGGAAAGGTTGCCGGTTCGATTTCTGGTCTGGGCACATGCCCGAGTTGTGTAGGAGGCATGAAGGAGGCAGCAATCAATGTTTCACTTTCACTTTGAATCTCCCTTCCTAGGAACCTCTTTAAAAAAAAATCAAATTTTTAAAATATTTTTTAAAAAAAGCATACACACTTTGTCAACTTGGATGAGTGAACCTACCCTGATTTGTTTTGCAACCTAGAAGTCGGGTTATTTTGAAGACCTGTTTTCCTCTGCAGGTGATGAGACAGTCGAGCTTTACAGACAGAGCCCTTCCCTTGCTTTTGAGTTCAGTCATCCTGTAGAAATAAACAGGAGGAAACCACTCCACTGTGCTTTTCCTTTGCTTATAAAACGCACCTAACTCTTGAGAGGCACTCCCTTGCCAGCAGAGCCAGCTTAGCATTGGGTCTGCTCTGTTTTCTGGGTGTGGACGATCCATGACACTCGAGTTGTGCAAAGCCTTGGTGCACTGCCTCTCGCCTCTGTACCCAAGTGTCTAGTCCAAATATGTTTTTCTCACACATATTTTTAAAGCATTACTCAACAAACATTTCTTAAGCTCACACTTTGTGCCAGGTGCTTCAGGGAATGCAGAGATGTTGAGATTGATCCTCTGCTATCTCACCATCTGCTAGAGGAGAGAAGGCCTGCACCCAGGGAATTAGAGCACCACCCTGTCTAGGACAGGACAAGTGTCGGGCTATTTCCCATCCCTCTTTGTGGCAGCTCAGAGTGAAGGCAATTATAGCCTTAGGGAATGGCCATGCTGGGGCTACCTTTGTCTCCAATAGAAATGTCCCTGTTTCAGGCTCTAATTAGTGGCCGTCCTACCTGGCTCTCACCAGCACCTCTACGCTGTGTACCCTACAGTCTATTAGTCACGTAGTAGCCATCTCAGTTATCAGATCGCTGTCATAGTATTGCAGTGCTTGTGTTCAAGTAACCCTCATTTTACTTAGTAGTGGCCCCAAAGCTCAAAAGTATTGATGCTGGCAATTCAGATGTACCAAAGAGAAACCCTAAAGTGCTTCCTTTAAGCGAAAAGGTCTGTATGTATAGGGGAGAGCACAGTATGTATAGGGTTAGGTACTACCCGTGGTTTCAGGCATCCGTGGGGGTCCTGGAGCAAATGCCCCACGCATAAGGAAGGACTATTGCATCAAAGTATTCTCGTGCATATTGTCTCATTTAGTCCTTACAACAGGTAAGCGGCCTCAGGTGTGATCATCCTTGTGAGTACGGCTGAGTAGCACAAGGTCAAGACTTGCTTGCTCTGGGTTATACGTTAGGGGCAGAGTCTCCCCTCCTTCCCTCTACAGTGAGCCGAATGTTCCTTTGCGTTCCTCAGATTCCAACTTTTCTTCCATTCTAGCAATGGCTCTGAATCAAACACTGAAAACTGGGGATTTGGGGGTTAAACACTCTAGTTAGCTCAGCCCCCTTTCTGTAGAAGCAGAACGCTGGGCCTTTTATGGGGACGTCTTGTCTGCAAAGGAGAGAGAAAGCTGTGGCTTGGGAAACACGTCTCTTCCCAAGGCAATGTGACTCTTCCTAAGCCAGATCTGTGTCACTTGGGTGTACGACACTGAGTCTCATTTACTGGTGGTGTTTCATATCCCACTTTGCTTTTCCCAGAAATTCAGGACTGGAACACAGACACACTTAACACCTTTTCCTCCCCACCCCAGCTCATTGCCCTGTTTCTCCTTTGCAGGGTCTGGTTTCTAACCTGACCCTCAACTCCAGTATCCTCACGGACTGGATGATCTTCCCATTGGACACTGAGAACACGGTGTGCCACCTGGGAGGCTGGTACGGCAATGCCAGAAGCTGCCGTGGTGAAGCCTGTGCCTACAGCTCATCTAACTACACACTCCCGGCCTTTTACGTGGGGAACTTCTCCATTCCCAGTGGAATCCCAGACTTGCCCCAGGACACCTTTATCCAGTTTCCCGGATGGACCAAGGTAGGTGTCGTCATAGGAAGTATTTGAATTCAAAGCCTCAAGCATCTGGTGTTTAGTGTTTGAGTGAGAAGGAATCAAAAAGAGTTGCTCATGAGATGCCACATGGCAGTCTGGGGAGTGGAGAACTTTCTCTGTTAGTGTAGCCATTCCTCAGGAGCGGGACTATGGCAGATCTGCAGGGATTCAACGGCCAGCTTGGAGGCGGCACCATCTACCCCATTTGTGTCGACTGATAATTGCCTTTAGCAAACGGCACCTTTTCTGCTTCCTCTAAGAAAACTTGTAGCCCCTTTGGATACTGATTATGAGCGGTGCTCCCTCTTTACTCTGAAGAAAACCTGGCCCAGGCAAAGGGGTGAATCTCTGGGAGGGCCCGTTTTTCTTTCGTCCATGCCTAATTCCTTATTCCCATAACACCCCCACCTTCACACGGCCCCAGGCCCTGGGACATCCACCTCTGCCTACATGATCCTCAACTCTTTCTTGGCCATGTTACCCCCCAGTCACTCTCCTTTGTTCTTTGAAGACATTAGGATGTCTTCCTTCACTGTCATTTTCTCCATTTCAAGTCCTATTTTCATCTTAAGATGACCTTGTCATGATCACTCAGTTATTCATTCAGTAAAGCTTTTTTCAGTGGCTACTGTATGTCAGACTTTGTGCCGGGCACTAAGGATATAATGATACAGGGTGGGGCAAGAATAGGTTTACAATCGTGAGTACAAAGAACAGTTTATTTTTGTATTATTATTTATGAATTATATTATTATTTCCCATGCCCCACCCTGTATAGAAAACCAGGTGTGGTCCTTGCCCTCATGGAACTTACAGACTAGTTGGGAGAAGACCGAATCATATAGTAACCCAAATGAAGTGGTAAAACTGTAGCTACAGTGGGAACTAAGAAGAGATATTGGGAGTTGATAATAATTGGAGCATTTGGCCTTGTCAGGGAGGTCGGGAAAGCCTTACTCCGGGAGGTGATGCTTGAGAGATATGAAAGATAAATAAGAATTAACATGGCAAAATGAGAGAGGGACATGTTCCAGGCAGAGGAGATAACATGTGCAAAGGCCATGTGCTTAGAGGGGAAAGGGCAAGTGTGAGGAAGGACACGAATGTGTGAAACACAGAAAGGGGAGTGTGGTTCAGAGAAGAGGCTAGAAAGTGGGTAGAGGCCAGATTGGAACAGGCCAATTTAGTTGCATTCAAATTTTGTCTTTATGTTGAGAGCCACTGAAGCAGGAGAGTGACATGACATGATTGTGATGTGACAGACCTCTCTGACCCTAGTCTGCAGAACGGGTTGGGTGGGAGATGACATCAACTATTCAAGAGATGTTTGAAGTTAAATCCATAAGATGTAATGATCGATTGGGTAGGGGGGTGGTTAAAGAAAAGATCACAGCCCAGGTGACTCTTAGATTCCAGACTTGCAGCTGGGCAGATGGTACCATTTACCGAAAGAAGAAACTTCAGAAGAGGACTTGGGCTGGGACAGTGAGAGCATGAGTTTGGGTTTGGACAGAGTGAATTTGAGGAGCCTTTGAGAATAGCTCTGAGGAGATACTGGAGGAGAGCCACTGGAGCCAAGGGTTGGGAATTGAGAGGAGGGACCTGGGCTGGAAATATACGTACCAGGTCATTTGCATATGGGTGGCTGGTCTTTGAGAGACACAAACGTGACAGAGGCGGAGGGGGGAGACCCAGGAAGTAAGAGGAAAAGGGCATTTATGCTGCCGGGAGGACATGTGAAGTGAAGACAGAAGCCCTTCTGCTGGCTTAGCAATGGGGAGGCCCCTGGGACTCCCCCGGGTGCTCTGCAGGGCACTGAAGCCAGATCGCATGCTCCTGAGGAGTGCAGGGGAAGGGAACGAACCCATGAACATACGTGTGGCTACTAGAATATAAACATTCTTTTTGGAAAGTGTGGCCGAAAAAGAAAAATATATATTAGTATCTGGGAGAGAAGAGAGCAAAAGATGCACAGGGATTGTGTTTAATAAATGCCTTGGTATGTTTTTTGCTTTCTAAATGTTTGTGGAAATACATAATTGGGGACTGCCGGGGGACCTCTCCGGCGCCCTCGTCAGGGCCACGGTCCCCTCACTGCAGCCCCTGAGGCCCTCAGCTTGCCCAGCAGTCCCCGGTCTGTCTCCTGCCCCTCCCTCAGCTGGCCTTTTCTGACCTTCACTGTCCTTGGGCCACTTCTTCCTCCCGCCTCCCGCCCGCGCTGAGGACTCACCCTGCTGTCAGGTGTAACTCCTTTGTTCCTCAGCTTCCTGTCACGGGCACCTCTCTGCCTCCCCCTCGCTTCCTGCCCCGTGGCCTCTAGGAGGAAGTCTCCGCTCTGAATCCCCTCCCCACCTTCCCCCTCCAGGCCCAGATCCCGCTCTCATACTCCCTCCTCCCACATTTGTCAGCCTTTCAGTCTTCTCTGCCGCCTCCCGTGTTGCAGCCAAGAAGTGGCGTCTGGGGTCTTTAGGACCCGAACCCAAAGTAGAGCCCTCCCTGGGGTTCCCATTCTAGCTCCTGGCCAGCTCCCTTTTTTCCTCACCCCCTCCTTCCCCCCCTCCCTCTGGGTGCTCGGCTGTGCCTTGTCTTCCCCTTGTTCATGCCTTTTCACTCCCTCATTCTGCCCACCGAGCCCTCACATAGTCATTGTCAAGGCTGGCACTGGCCCCCCTGAAACCTCCCTAGACCCTCAGTCCAGGAAAGGATGGGCCCGTCCTCTTTGGAGGCCCTCTGTGCCCCACCTGGACTCAGCATCGTGATGCTTCATCACACTCGGGCCGGGTGGGAACCTCGGTTTCGTCCACTGAGTCATGAGCTTCGGGAGGGGCATTTTGGCAGCGCCCAGCTTGCTCTCCAGCCTGCCCTCCTCCTGCACCCAGGAGCTCCGTAAATGCTTTCGTTCAAACAGGTGCACAAATGCCCGTGTTGCTGAACCCTGGGAAGAAAGCAAACGGGAGGAAGAGGGGTTTTGCTGGGTGCCGTGCATGCAGGGCCAAGGCAGAGAAGATCCGAGCACAAGTCATCACTCCCCAAGTGTGTCGACTTAGTGCCTTAAGAGGAAGACCTCTGCAGAGATGCAAAGCAGCAAGAGAACCTGTCCTTCACAGGGATTCTCAGAAGGGCTGGGTGGCTCAGCTAGAGCTTGAAACGGGCCGGAACGATGGAAGGCCCTTTGTCAGAACTTGTCAGGGAAGGAATTTCAGGTGGGAGAATAGTAGAAGCAAAGGTGCAGAAATGGAAAAGCAAGGGGACATTTTGGAGGTCAGAGGTGATTCACCTTGGCCAGGTCATAAGGATGTCATACCCAAGAGTTACAGACCCTGCAGTCTGCTCAGAACGTTAGAGATACTATCTCCATAATCAAGAGTGGCACATGTGGTAGAATGTCATATCATTATCTCCAGTTTGCAGATGAGCAGATAGAGGCTCAGAGAGGTACGAGGTACGGAAGTAGGTGGTGAGCCCCAGGTCTGCCTGAGTTGAAGGCCCATGTGAAGAGAAAGAAAGGCAGGCGGTACCCAACTAGGCCTCAACAGCCACCCAAGAGCTCTCTGATTATCCAGGCAGGGCCTCTTGACTTATTTCATCAGTCTGATGAATGCTCTGCACCTTCATGCTTGAAAAGTACAATTACACACAATGTTTGTGAACGTGTCAGAGGGTTCAGGCCCCCCAGAAGTTCGTCTAATCCATATGTCCACTCAAAAACTGGTACACAGACGTCCACACCAGCATTATCCAAAGTTGCCAAAAGGCGGAAAAACCCAAATGTTCATCAACTGATGAGTGAATAGTCAACGTGGTATATCATTATAAGGGACTGTCACTCGGCAGTGAAAAGAAACGAAGTACTAATATATGGTACAACGTGGATGAACCTTGAAAACATGTTCAATGAAAGAAGCCAGTCACAAACCTTACATATGATATGATTCCATTTTTATGAAATGCCCAGAGCTGGCAAATCTATTGACACAGGATGGTTAGTGGTTGCCTAGAGCAGGTAAAGGGGAGAAGGGAAGTGTTGGGGTGAAGGATGGGGCATCACTGCTAAAGGGTGCAGGGTTTCTTTTTGGAGTGATGGAAATATTCTAGAATTGATTGTGGTGACAGTTGCATAGCTCTGTAGTATACTAAAAACCACTGAATTATACAGTTTAAATGAGTGAATTGTATGTAAGGCTTTACACACACACACACACACATCCATCCATCCAGAGGATTCTGTTATTTGCTGGCGAGCAGTGGTCCTTGGTGCTGAGAACTGCCCCTGGCCAGCTCCTGAGGCTCTGAATCACAGCACACACAGAACAGATGGATTGCACTCTCCCACGGGGCACTGAGGTCGGACTTTTGGAAGAATGGGCACTTTGGTGGCTGTGGGGTGTGGGGGTGAGGATGGGCTGAATGACCATTTCCAAGCCTCTGTCTCCTGGCACACTAACCCTCCTCCATCGGGGCGGCCCTGTCAAGGCCCTTGCCTCCAGCCTCTTGGCTTATTATGCTGTTTACTGGCTGTAAAGAAACTACCCTGATTTAGTGAATGAAGCCACTGGTAAGAATGATTCATGAGATAAAAAATCACTTCTGATCACTTTGGCTTTGCTTGAGTCGGATGTGGCTTTCTGGGTAAATGCCTGAACATCAGCTGGGATTTCAGTGGGAGACGATTGGACGTGTTTTGCTCTATCCCAGGCCAGCATGTGTCAACACAGAATTCTTGTCTGACCACAAGCTCCCTAAGACAGGCTGTGCTCTGGCTGGGTTCTGCCAATGCAGTGACATTTGTACTGTTTATCTCTCCTCCAGATGGGGGTGGGTAAACCTCATATTAATGTCCTCTGCAGCCTTCCTGCATTTTTAGCCTCTTGTTGTAGCCTTGGGTGTATAACAGAGCATGTCCCATTTTTCCTCAACCAGAATTAGGCATTGAAAAGCTAAGAATCAAAATAGAATACTGACTAAAAAAGTAGTTTTATTTTTTAAAGGCAAACATTACCTCTTTCAAGGTGTTAAAAGAAAAAAAAAATCACGAAATAAAAGAATTTATAACAAAGCCAGAAATTCCTTTTGTCACCAGTCCTGTCCTAAGGACTGGTTACCCAAAAGACCAAATGATCAGAGGGTTGGAACTTTCAGCCCCACCCCCCAACCTCTGGGGTAAGGTTGAGATGGGAGTCTGGAGATGGAGCTCTCTAGAAACTCTAGAATAAGGAAATTTGGACATCTGGGTCGCTGAGCACACCCAGATGTTGGGAGGTGCACCTGAAGAGGGCTGGAAGCTGTACACCCCACCCCCATACCTTGCCCTATGCATCTCTTCCATCTGCCCCTCCCTGAGTTGTACCCTTTATAATAAACCCATAAATACAAGTAAAATATTTTCCTGAATGCTCTGAGCCATTCTAGCAAATTATTAAACCTAAGGAGGGGAGGTTAATTTATAGCTTGCTGTTCAGAAGCACAGGTAGCTTGAGACCTGCAACTGGTGTCTGAGTGGGGCCAGTCTTAGGGGACTGGGCTCTCTAACTTGTGGTATCTGACTTCAACTCTAGGTAGATGGTTCCAGAAATGAGTTGTTGGATACCCAGTTGGAGTCAAAGAATTGGAGAATTGGTCAAAGTCAAAGAAAATATCTCAGAAAGAGTGAGGAGCAGAGTGGTGGAAAATAGTTAAAACGGTGGTTTTGTGGCCTCGTGTATCAAGGAATTTGGAGATGACCTTGAGAACTTTGTAGAGCTAGGGGAGGTTTTAAGCATCAGAGTTATGAATGGATGTGGCAACAGTGTGTAGAATGTGTCAGAGAGAAGTACTTAATGACTGGCTGTTGAGCATGTCAACATGATAGGCAAGGGCATTGCTAGTAGGGAAACATCGCATTTATATTCTTCCTAATTGTTACTATAGTAACCCTGTAAGAAATTGTGGACTTGAGTGGTGGTAGATGGAGAGAAGTATAAGATCTGTATAGAAAAGAAAAGGCAAGATTTGCTGAAGATTAGGTGTGGTGTTGGAGAAAGAGAAGTCAAGGAGGACTCCAGAGTTGGGGCCAAGCAACTGGAGGGATGGAGCTGTCAGTGTCTGAGGCGGGAAGACCAGGGAGAGCAGGTGAAGGATCAGGAGCTCTGTTTTGGACATAGTCAGACCCAAGTACTTACTAATCAGTCAAGAGAGGCTATCTAGTCTTGGCCTCAAAGAGGTGGCCATAAAATCTAGAAACATAGCAAAAAAAATAAAGCTGTGTTCAGTATAATGAAATAAGATCATTTATGTTTTCAGCATCCTGTGGAAAGCCTGTCGGTCTTTATAAGTCTGTATAAATCCAGAGGTGGGTTTAATGTAAGTTAAAGATAGATATTCAGTGCTTGTTATGGGACTGCAGAGGTGAGGAACCTGTCCCACGTCTGGAGTTATTAGGAAAAGGTCACAACCAGTAGAACTGACTCCAGAGTAGAAGGCGATGGGTGGGAAGGACTATTCTGTTCCCACACACCTCTGAGGCTGTTCCTGCCAAGGCCACCAGCACCTATGTGGTGGAATGTTACCTGGACATTTCTTGGGCCTCTTGGCATGTGACGTCTGACATGGGTGACCACTCTCTTCCTTGAAACTCTTCTCTGACTTCTGTGACCAAACTTCTCCTGGTTTTTCTTCCCCCAATTTGTTCCTTCTCAGGCTTCTCTTTTGGTTTCTATGTTTCAGGTCAGGGCTTGATTCTGGGCCCCCTTCTTACACTTTCAAAGGATGTCGTCCCCACAGGTATGCTGGTAACACCCAACTAGCACTTTTGAGGACCCGGAGCACCACATCCAAGCGCCTACCACTGGGGTCTCATAGGCACCTTCAGCCTGATACAGAACTGTTCCTCCTCATGACCCCACTTTTCTGCTGGAGAAGTGGTTCCAGGGAGAAAGGATGGGGCTGGGGCTTTAGTGTAGCAGTATTCACTAGGAGTTAGCCCTCACACAAGTGTGGGAGCAGCTGGGAAGGCGGGTGTTGGAAGAGGGGTCAGAGAATCGAAGGAGGAAACACTCATCAGCCCTCCTGTGCTGGTCAGGTCGGCACCTCAGGGGCATCTCAGGAGTAAGTCCAGCTACCCAAGCACCACTTTGGGGAGCTCACAGGGGGGTCTTTGGGACTGCTGCCTTGTGAGGCTACTGCACTGTTGGCCAGCAAGGCAGCCTTCAGGAAGACGAACTGGACAAGGAGCAGAGGAGACCAAGGACGAGCTGGACCCACAGGCACCCCTGCTCCCATCAGGCCTGACTTTAGCTGTGACAGCCCCCAAGAGTGAGGGCCGCTGCTTCCCTTCCGCCTTCCCAATCTCAAGGTCCTCTTTTGGCCACTGTGACCCAGAACCCTCTAGTGGCGGAGAATTAAAGAAATGGTCCCCAGCTCTCCAAGGGGACATGCTTGATTCAGCCCAAGGGATGTGAGGGACAATTTCTTGGATACTTACGAAATGGAGTTTGAGGTATGAGAGGGGACCAGACCTCAACGTTGTCCACCTCACTTTTTGGTCAAGAGTTGGCTTGGCTCTTGCCTGGAACCAAGTGTACAGTGGGCACCGCATGGGCTGTTGTTCCTTGTGGGCCGCTCACAGAGCCCTCTCGCTAATCTACCCTTGAACCTACCTACCCCCTTGACCGCAAAAGTGAAGTGTTGTTGTTCATTAATACTGTGAAAACAAGGCACCCACAGATGTTAAACTGATAAAAACCTGGTGAAGCTGCCATGGTACATACCTTTCAGGATGGACCGAGATAGCACATCCCGTGGTGAAAAAGTGAGTGAAATGGTTCTGAGTACTGGGAAACTGTCATTCTTTTTCTAAATGACTTAATCCAGCCAACAGGTGGCTTTAATCACTGGCCTTCTGTGGGCATGTGGGTGCCCGGATCTTTTCATTTCAGTTGTGTGAGGAGGGCTGCCACGCACTGAGCGCTTCCCCGGTGCTGGACGCTGTGTCCACATGCACTGAGTCCTCCTGTCCTCAGTGTCCCCAGTGGCCCATATGAGTTAGGGACCTCCCAAGGTCAGACAGCCAGTAAGGGGTGAGACTAACATTTGACCCCAGCTGGGAAATTCAGAGGGAGCTGGAATAGAGGGGGCACCTGGAGGCTGAAGAAAGACCCAAAGCTGAGCAGCTGAGTAGCTCTAAGATGAGTGACCGTGGCTGTGAACCAGGGCTCAGCACATGACAGTCATGATCGGGCCTCCTCCGGAGTTTCTCCCTCAATATACAGATGCTCCTTGACACCCCAATAAACTTGTCGTAAGTTGAAAATATCGTTAAGTTGAAAATGCATTTAATACACCTAACCTACCGAACATCATAGCTTACTTAGCCTAGCCTACATTAAATGCTCAGAACACTTACATTAGCCTACAGTTGGGCAAAGTCACCTCACACTAGGCCTATTTTATAATAATATCTTATGTAATTTATTATACATGTCGCTTTTGCACAATTTGTGAAATCAAAAAATCATAAGTTGAACCATCCTGAGTTGGGGACTGTCTGTATTTGGGTCACTGTGGGGTGCAGTTCTTTACGTCTCCCTCCCCCCCTTCCTTCGCCCTTTATTCCCCCTTTCCTCTCCCACATATTCTCTCCCCCCTTCTCTCTCTCCTGCGTGTGATCTCCCCTCCTTTGCTCTCTTTCTTTGTGATAGAATGCTCCACCTGTTCAGCCAACAGTGAAGTCCTACCCGAGGAGCGAATGTAGCACCTGCAGGGAGGCTGTGCAGCCACACCCAACCATCGTCCCTATCTTTAGGAGGTTCTCTGCTCTCAGTTTTGTAGCGGAAGCAGCTTCTCCTACTCACAGAAATTGCCTTTGCAGCTTGTAGTGTCCCCTCTGCTCCTTAAAGCAGATGTGCCACTCTCACTCTGATGCTGGTGTGAAAACCATTAAAACACAGCAGTAATACAGACACCCAACTGGGTGGACCCCTGTCTCTCCCTCCCCCACCCCCACATCCTTCTCATGGGGTTGTTTGGGGACCGGGGACAGCTCCGGGGACAGCTCCTGGGACCTGTGTGTCCCAGGCTACAGACCCTGTGCTCACCTAGTGCATGAAGACAGCATGGTCAGGACCTGCCTCTAGGAGCAGATGGCCTTGGGGGACCATTCCGCAGCTCTCTGTGTACCGAAGAGTCAGGGAGAGGCTGGTATGTAGACAGACAGTCCTCCAGAACCCAGGACAAAGTGCAGAAACTTGGCAAAACAGCCACAGTGTCATCCAGCACTGACATGTGGCTGCTGAAGCCAGTCAGAGGGATCAAACACGTTTTCCCTGCCCTGCTTGACCAGTCACCCCAGCAGGATGCTGGAGCACAGACTGGCCTGGGCCTGGTTGTCAGGCCTGGACTGTCGGGGGACAGCGCCTTCATGGGGGCGTTTCCCGCCTCCACCTGCCCTCCACCGGCTGGCCCAAGGCTCTCCTGTGCCTCAGGATTCATGAAGCTGGGGTTGATCGTTTCTTCCCCTCTCTCTCTCTCCAGGGTCAGGTGTGGATTAATGGCTTTAACCTTGGTCGCTACTGGCCAGCACGAGGCCCCCAGATGACCTTGTTTGTGCCACGGCACATCCTGGTGACGTCGGCCCCGAACACCATCACGGTGCTGGAACTGGAGCGTGCACCCTGCAGTGATGACGCCCCAGAACTGTGCACCGTGGAGTTCGTGGACAAGCCGGTTATCAGTGCAGCTGTGACCTATAGCCAGCTCCTTCAGGACCTGCCTGATGAAGACTCATGACAGGACCGTGTGTGACAATGAAAGCCTGGGACCTAGCCTTTCACATACCTCACATGTCCCCTTGCAGCAGCAGCATTCATTGGAGAGTTCAATTGGAAGATAGATTTAGCTTGTGCATGTTCACCTGAGGTCTCCCTGCAGCCTTGCAGTGACTGACCCACCCCTGCCAAGCGCCACCATGGCCATGTCATGGGGGTGGCAGCCCAGCAGTACACGGGTATATCTGCAGTTGGAACAGAAGCTTTCGAGGTGTTTCTGATTTCTATTTTGGAAGAATCATGTTGTCTTTTTGTGAAATAAAATTTGCACTTGTGATGTTACCGTTTTTGACGTTGGGCATATGTTAAGTGATAGGTTCTGATTTAAATCATAACTAGACTTGAGTGGGCTGAAGAAGCCACTTCACTCACTTGAGGTTCAAAGGCTTGGAAAATCGCCTTGGTTTGATCTAGTGGACTGCTGCTTTTCTGATCCTCATGTAAAGTTCAGTCTCACTTTGTGTGTTTAGATGTAGCAATTGCACCCATCCACATGCTAACACAGGCCTGTACATGTCCATAGACAATCATACACATGAGTGCATGATCTATGTACATACACGGATATGCATGACCTGCCCAGGCAGCAGCTCTCTGTTGTTGAGCACTGTCCTATACCAGGCCCAGTTCTGGGCATGTTATATATTTTATTCGCTTGTCCCTCTCAAGGACTCTGAGGAATGTACTGTCATCTTCCCCGATTTGCCAGGACACACAGCTGTAAGTGGCAGAGACAGGGTTTGAACCCAGGTCGTCTGGCTCTAGTGTCCAGGCACGCATTGCATACGTAATATATTGATACATGCTTATGTTCCCATAGCAAAGGATTGGAACAACAAACGAAACTGTTAACATGGTCCTACCTGGGTGCTGCTCCAGAGATTGCCCACTTTTTCTTTTTTGCTTACCTGTGTTTTAAATCCTTTACAGAGATGTGTTTTTTAAGGGAGAGAGAAAGAAAAGATTTTGATGCTAATCCACAACGTATTTTCCTGATAGTATATTTCCCCCGTCTCATAGACATCAGTAACGAAGATGTGGGAATCACGGGGAGTTTGGAAACTGCGCAGCTCAGGAGCTGAGACACGCTGAGACTAGAACTTGCTGTAGGACTATTTTCCAGAGCATGTGTTTTCTCCGTGCTCTGCAGCCCTCAGGGTGAAGAAGGTGCTGCATGGCCCGGGCCTCTTGCATTACTCTGCCTTCCACTGCTAGGTTACCAAAAATGTGTGAAGTGATGCTCAAGAGCTGTGCCGAGTGACAAGCTTTGGCCAGATATGTGACATGTTCCCTTTTAAAGCATTAAGTACGTCGGTGAACCGCACCTCCCCTGTCTCGGAGGCCAGCGTGGAGTCTCCAGAAGGCCCGGGCAGGGGAGCGGGATCGCCTCGCCCGGTGTGCACTTCCGTTCTCTCGCTGACCTCCAAGAACCACGCTGTAAGGGAGGCAGCAGTAAGCCCATTTTACAGATGAAACCGTTTAAAGCTTCAGCGAGAGGCAAAGCTGGATTCTAACCTGGCCTGTCCCCACCCAAAGCCAGAGTGATTTGTCCTGTCAGCGTGAGGCAAACTTTTGGTTTTTTCGCCTTTCTACAGCAACATGACTTCCCTTGTCCAGGATGTCATGTTCTGGAAAACAGGGTACCAATGGCACCACCCTGGACTCGGCTCCCAATCCATCATCTATACTCCCTCTGAGGGGCATACATTTATCTTCTACAATGTCATTCTCCAAACGGGATGTGCCTTTAGTCTCTCCCAATTTCTGAACTCTTTTTTGTTTTTAATATATCTTTATTGATTTCAGAGAGAGGGAGAGAGAGACAGAAACATCAATGATGAGAGTCATTGATCGGCTGCCTCCTGCACGCCCCTGACTGGGGATCGAGACTGCAACCCGGGCATGTGCCCTGACTGGGAATTGAACCCCGATCTCCTGGATCACAGGTCAATGCTCAATGGCTGAGCCACGCCCGGCCGGGCTGAACTCTTGTACAGATGCTACCTTGGAAAATAAGGGCAGCCTGGCCAGTGCAGCTCTGTTGGTCAAGTGTCATCCCATGCACCAGGAGATCGCGGTTCGATTCCCGGTCAGGGCACATGCCGGGGTTGCGGGCTCGATCCCCAGTCAGGGGCGTGCAGGAGGCAGCCGGTCAATGACTCTCTCATCATCGATGTTTCTATCTTTCTCTCTCTCTCTCCCTTCCTCTCTCTCTAAAAGCAGTAAAAACATATTTTAAAAAGAAAATGATAAGGATAGTACCTTTATTGCCTGCTATGCAAATCTTTTATATTAACTTCATCTCTAAGGTGATTTTAATATTCCAGGGCTTTCTGAGCAGGCTTGTGCTAACCCAATCACAGCACTGAGGCTCTTGGAATATTACCATGTTCTCAATCATCCTTGCGATGAACGTCATGGCCTTCTCCTTCATACTGTTGGTTATATGTATCCGAGATTTATATGACCTGCAGAACATCTTGTTTTAAAACAGCTTTATTAAAGTATAGTATCCATACCATAAAAGTCACCCATATTAAGATACAGTTTGATGAGTTATACTAAATTTATACAGTGGTGCAGCCATCTCCACAGTCCAGTTTTAAAACACTTCCTTCACCCCGGGAAGTTTTCTCATGCAGGAACTGTTCATTCCCACCAGGCAAGCCACCAATCTCTTTTCTGTCTCTCTGGTTCACCTTTTAGGAATGTCCTATAACCGGGTCACACTAGGTAGTCTTCTGTGCCTGACTTCTTTCACTTAGCACAGTGTGTTTGAGGGTTATCCACATTGAAGCACGTTCAAAAATGTGCTCCTTTGTATTGTCAAGGAGCATCCCATTGTACGGACATACCAATATTGTGTCTGTTCATTTGTCAGTTGGTGAGCGTTTGAATTGCTTCCAGTTTTGAGCTATTGTGAAAAATGCTGATCTGAACATCCATGTGCAATTCTCTGTGTGGTCATATGTTTTCATTTTCCTCCGGTAGATACCTCACAGTGGAACTGTTTAGTCACATTGTAAATGAGTGTTTAACTTTTGAAGAAACTGCCAAACAATTTCAGAACATCTTTTCTAAGACTAACGAGGACTGAAATAATGGCAGAGTAGCACCCAGCAGAGCCAAGTCCATTCCTGCCCCTTTTCCCTGCCCTGCCTCAGGCTGTTCATTGTCTCTCTCTTTTTGTCTCTGTTTATCTGTCAATCTTTTTTCTCTCAGCAAGTCCAGTTTATTCAGAGTGAAATTGTTTACCATTATTAATCTGAGTTTGGGTTTTTTTCATTGTTTTCCAACAAGCAATATTTATCTGTCAGATGACACCAATAGGAAATGATCTTGTATAGTCTTTGTTTCTTGCCTTGTGAGAAAATAAGTCATTTTCTGAAATCACTCTTAGTCAGTGTGAGGGATTTTGTCTGGTCTGTGGTAGAATAGACAGCTAGCAGAGACCAATAGCTCGTGGGCTGTGAGGAAAGTCTGGTCAGTGTGCACATCATTGGATTAGGTGGCTCTGGGTTGAAGCCCAACCACTGCTCTTGGTCTGACTGAGCTGTCCCTTTCTGGGCTGTCCCTTGCCTTCCAGCCTTCTGGGCCCGAAGTCTGTTAACTGAACACCCAGCAGCTGTCTTTTTCATTTGTTTGTTCAAAATATTACAGATGTCCCTTTTTCTCCCCAATCCCAGCAGCTGGTTGTCTATAAATGCCCAGTGAAAATTCTGCCCTGGCCCTGCCGGACGTGGCTCAGTGGTTGAGCATCAACCTAGGATCCAGGAGATAGGGGTTCGATTCCCAGTCAGGGCACATGCCCAGATTGTGAGCTGCAGCCGATCAATGACTCTCTCATCACTGAGGTTTCTATCTCTCTCTCTCCCTTTCCCTTCCTCTCTAAAAAATCAATAAAAATATATTTTAAAAAAAAGAAAAAGAAAATTCTTCCCTGATTACCCACTAGACAATTGCTCTACTTACACTCCAAAGGAACGTCCCACAAGCTTCAGCGCTCTGAACTCCCAAGCCAGCAGCATGTATCTCCTCATGAAACAGGCCAGACTCGGGGACAGAAGCAGTTTCAAACTCCTGCTCCATTACCTACCATTGGCATGATCTCAAGTAACTGACTCAGTTATAAGCCTCAGTTTCCTCATCTCCTAAGTATGGTTCCCACCTCATGGGTTTTTAAATCAAATACAGTAATCATGAAAGCACCTCACACAGCCATCTAATAGGTGTTCCCTGAATGGTAGTGTGATTCTTACCCATCACATTCCTCCACAGAAGCAGGTAAGTGATTGTGGGGGAACCTGAGGGGCTAGGGGAGAAGAAATGCCACCCAGGACACAACATCCTTTTTCCGAATCCCTTCCTGTTCAACAGCTTGGCTCTTCTCCTGACCATCCACTGTGCTGGGTTAAGGGTGCAGAAGTGAAGGAGACAGTCCACCATAAAACACGAGCACAGACTGGAAGATGAAGGGGTTCCTCAGAAAAGGGGGGGTGCATCAGCTGTCAAGGCCCTGACACTAACCTGACCTTGCTGGGGCAGCCTACGCCTCGGGGAAACACTGGAGATCAAGCTTGGACTTCAGAAACCTCAGCGTGGACTTCTTCAGTGCTCCACTTCCTCAACACCTCTGTTCACTTGTCCTCAAAATTTAAGGGACTTTCCAGTCCCAACATACTGACTTCCTAGCCCAAAGGGCACGTCTCACCATTATGTGTTGTTTGGGTTGTTGTCTGTTGCTGCACGTCAAACTACTTCAACAAATTTGCATTAGTGACATAAAACAACTGTTTTGTGATGGGCATGATTCTATGGCTCTGGACGGGGATTTGACAGGCACAGCAGGGTGGCTTGTCTTTGTTCTGAGATATCTGGGGCCTATGCTGGGTACTGGAATCTGGAGGTTCCTTCACACACGTCTGACTTTTAGGCTGGGTTGACTTGAAGTCTGAGCTCAGACTGGGTCTGCCGACTGAAGCATCTCCATGTCCTTTTCCTGTGATGATGCTAAAAAAATAATAATAATAATAATAGTAAATTTTTGTAAAATACTTTTAATGCTTAATTTTTCATACAGTAGCTAGTTGGGGTCTTTATTAGAACCTTTCGAAGAAATAGGACAGGTGATGTGCAGTTTAGGAAAATGAGAGGTAGGAAGGTTTGTGATTTATCCAAAATTAGGAGGGCCAAAATTGAGACTCTTGCCTCCAAATCCCACACTCTTCCCCTAGGCAGGTTACCTTGATTGATTGGGCTGCAAGGAAAAAGTT